CATTAAGTAAAAATGCATAAAGGGATGCTACCCTAGACTGGAGACAGAGACGGGGAACCATGGGGAGATGTAACAATGGAGATGGCTGAAGCAAACCCTAGTGTAGCCCCCACCACAGTTCCCATGCACACACTCCCCATGTGTATCTATCAGATGCATGTACTGCTCTCACTTGTCAATCACAACAGGGGGAGGGTAGGAAGCCTCTGACAAAGCACTGCTTTAATGTATTTAATGAGGGTATCAAAAAACAAAAACAATTTCTCTGTCCTCAAAGGACCTGAACACACACTTACACACATCATGACCAAGTTTTTAAGAAATGATGAAGCCTGATCTGGACAGGAACATGACAGCTTAAATGCCTATGGGTCTGTGAGACTTGATTATGTGACAGTGGGTTGGACAGATGTAAAGAAAAGGATGCGAGTGATAAGTATACAACACAAATGTGTTGGGGGGGCAAGGGGACATTCCTTGTATTGACAAATAAATGAGTAGGTCAAGGTCACAGGCTACTGATACCTATGTAGTAAATTAATTCATCAATTAATGGTCCATAAAAGCAGTTGTAAACCAAGAATAAACTACCTCTATAGTAGATTTTATAGAAGTGGTTTCAGTTCAAGCCTATTCCTTTACATAATATGCTTTCACTTTTCTTTTTCCAGCCTTAACACCAAAGCTTCTGGAATGAGGCAGGAAAGGAAATAGATACGAAGTAAAGATGTACTGCAAAAAACATGGAGATGCCTTCATCTGAATTTGGACCATGACGAAGCAAAACTTGATTCTTGAATCAATCTAATAAAACAAATGCCCCACTCAAAGACAATGTGCTCCCCCTTTTTAAACAGATTTACCAAAACTAAATCTTCTTGAACAATTACATTGGAAGTCCCACAAAAACAGAGTCAGGCCCCTCCTAAGAAGGGCTACAGCAGCAGCTAGCACCCAGTCAGAGCAGAGACCCTTCACCCTCCAGGGGGAAGGGAAAGAAAGAACCACCATCTGGGGTTTAGTCATGGTGATGCCAGGGGCTGGGGCTCAGCGACAGGGGGACTGCTGGGGTTTAAGAGAGGGATGGGGCATTAGCCCAGTTAATGGTTATAACATACTGGAAGAGGTGTTCGGTGATGTTCCATGCAAAATCAGAAAGGGAGAATTTAGTCAGAATAATGCTTCCAAGGAAATATCATCACCAGTACTAAGAATGAACAACGTGTGTAATGGAGCAAACTGCCCCACCCTGGCAGGTACAATCAACAAATAGTTAGTAAAAGAGCTGCCAAGCAATTACAGCCTGTGTACACCTGCGGATTTAGGAATCCTTTGTTCTAATCACATAACATAACATTCCAGTAAAGATTGACAGATGGTTTGAAAGAACTAAAAAAAATAAAATCAAACCCAATTTCCAACAAAGTTCTTAAAATGTGAAAAAAATATATATCTAACACAATAACTAAGCAAAAACAAAAGTGGACCTTGATATCAATGCTGCATATTTTATTCAGAATCCCAGCATATCTGCTATAATCTCACATCAAAAGTTAAGGATAAAGATACAATATTGCCATTCAGATGACAGTACCAAAAAACCTAGGCCTCAAGATCCTTGGCATATCTTGCAAAAATCCAGCACTGATGAAGGGGCCCGAACCGTCCACTGGTTGAAGGACTGTAGGCATCTTTTAAGAGACACACAGCCAAGAATTTGGATAAACACCACAGGAACAAGGAGCCAAACAAGAAGGTCAACCTTGGGGCTCTTTCTTCACATCACTTCAAACAACTGTCCTTCTGCTTTTTCATCTTAAGCCTTTTCTCACGATTTTTTTTCTCACCTCCACAAAAAAATAATACATCAAACACCCCCGCCCTTATATCTAAATAAGGAGGAATAATAGTAAGAAATTGTGGCATGTGACCTTTACAAAAAATATAAAGGTGGCTAGTTTGTATGGCTAGCTAACTGGAATGATTCACCATGTCTAATAGTGAAATGGGTAATCCACCATCATATGAAAACAACAGTGTTGCAGCGGTGGTCCAACCAGCAGGCCATTATCCACCACAGTATTAAAATTACATTCATAGATGGATGGATGGATAGATAGAACTTTAATTAGTGACTTTGGAAAATTTAGGAATTATAATTATAAAAATGTGTAATTTTAATAAGAAGAACTGTTTTGAAAAAAAGCATCAACAACACACTGAAATTATGAGATTACCATTGTGGAATGAGTAAATGTTGAAGCATTATACAATTATCTAATAGTATGTCAGAGAATTTGACTAAACCCCTGACCACAGTGGAATAACTCAACACTTACTACCCTGTTGTGACTAATGACAGACACTTCCTACCCCCTTTCCAAACCCCTGGTTCTTGGGTACCTGCATATACTGTAGAGACAGGATGGCAGCGGTAGCTGATTCACATTACTAACTATGCTTCTACTGCTAAAAGCATCAGTAGGCGGAAAAACTTGCAATAAGAATAAATGTATTTTTTTCAACACTAAATGTCAAGCCAAGGGAAAAGGTAACATGGAGTGATTCAAAGTGCCCAAGCCAGCCCATCTTGTTGCTGGTATGTGGCATTAAGCCAAACAAACCTGTCTACCTGAGTGTTTCCTACAATACATAACAGACTATCGCTCTACAACTAGTCCTAGCTGGATCACTAATGTTTCATCAAGACAGATCATATCGCTGAAGGATAATATACCATCAATTTGTCAGGACAATGTTGGTTGAAATGTTATTTCTTACACATACATGTCTCTGCAAATTTATATAGATAGTTAGCTAAATGTTTCAACAAATTAGTCTTTCAGCTGAAATAAGATATAATCAAACAGGAACCACATATGAATCAATCGTCAGCCTAACCAAACCTGTCTGCCCCTTTCCTGCACCATCGACTGAATTGGTACCACTTCCCTTAATTCCTTACATTGCTGTTTGTCTGAACACACATTTGAACACCAGTATTGCTATGGTATTACTCCTTTACTTATTTTAAAAACAAGTAATAAGACTTCCATTTGCATCTTTTACTATACAAAAACAACACTTGGGTATTAGATATGTTAAAACCATGGTAACATGCCCACAGACATACTACTTCAAGCTCAACACACAAATGACCACATAAAACACTACACACACACACACACACACACACACACACACAAAAGTATGCAAACACTAAACTGCAGATCATCACCATTCGTGTTTGAACGGGTGATTGTTGAAAGGCAAGGGCCTTAACCACTCTCCCACCTTGCGGTCTTAATTCAAATTCCAGCGGTAATTTTTTTCACCGGAAAAACAAGCGAGTAAAATTGCACTTTCATACGTCTAAGTCTTGCATCATCAAGTTTTTATTACAACTATGCGTCAATTTTTCAAGTATAGAATTTCTATATCAGTCACAACATTTCCTCATGTGATCTGATTGGTGATGCGCTTAAGGATGTATGCACTGTGTGGCAGCACGGTAGTCTAACAGGACAAAAAAAACGTCCCTAGACGAATGCATTGGCTTATAATGATCAGCTTCGAATGATTCAAGTACTTTGAAAACTTCAATTAGCCTTGACTTTTCAGTTAAAGCACACCACCATTAACTTTTATGTAAACTACGTGCACCCCCTCCCATGTAGCTTCGTCCTTCAATAACAAAGCGTAGCCTACGTGTGTTTCTCTCTCTCTCTGTG